TGGAATCATGTGGGTTTGAGGTTGGGTAATTATCTAGAACTACAATCTGCTGGGGGTCCTCACTAGGGGTAGGGTCTTCAGAAACTCTGCAAAATACTTCTAAATACCCATCCCTGTGCTTAGCTTCTAGTAACCCTTATACATCCTCAACAGTTTCTATCTTCTTCTTACCAGTCATCCAAGTCTTACCCTTTTCTTTGTACCATAGTACATATATGTTAGGTACATCCCATCCCATGTCCCTAATCCCTTCAGCACATAAGTATCTTAAATATCCTTCAGTTAAGTGAGTCAGAGGGACATCCATTTTCCAATAAGTGAACCCAACTTCATACACTTGGTACTAGATTCCCCTACAATTCTTAAACACCCAAATATTCTAAGCTTAATATCAACATTATCATCACCATCAGCCATTTTTTTAATCTACAATTAAATAGGAATAAACAAATCAAACACTATTTAATTCCTAACAGTAACTAAATCTATTCAATTGCTACAAAAAGGCAATTTCATACTCACATACCCTACCACATGACTATGTAAACATCAATTTTTAATTAGTCAAACAACATTGCTTAAAATAATCAAAGCTCACTAATCTAGGGTTTACTGCAGATTCTCCCAAAAATACCCCAACTCACATGCATTATTGCAAAATTACCCCCATTATTGGACCACTATAAATAGTTAGGGTTTCGTACCTTGTAATCAATCGTTGTCAGAAGAATCTACAGCTTCCAACAATGGAGATGACGATCCTTCCACTTGGTCGTCCTCCCCTGCTTCGTCGTACCAGTCAAAACCTTCCACGCAAGCTTGTTAAACCTTCAATTACCAGAAAAGTTGAGATAAAGAAAGATGGAGATGCTGACAGATGAGAGCGAAAGATTCATGGTAAAAAAAAAATTACTAAGCTTCAATGGAGTTAAATTTGGGGGTTGAGGGAATTCAATAGAGAGAGAAAGGGAGTAATTAGGTTGGCAGGGGGTAGATTCGAGGAGAAAAAAGAAGGTAAGTAGGGCCCCCAAACGCCAACAGTAACGAATTCCGTTAAAAGGTAGCAAATTTTAACAAAGGTGTTTTTGTGTGGTAGTAAAATAAAACAAAAATTTAAACAGGTTGCAAAAGTGAAATACGTGTGTTTTTGTGGTAGCAAAAGTGAAATTTTCCTTATAATTATTATATATATATATAATTTTTAGATTTGGTTTTTGAATTAAAAATCCCCAAATTGAAAACCTTAGGTTTCTAAATTAATGTATATTGATGAAAATTGATTGTGGGTGATTGAAACTAATAAATTAGATATTTTTAAACATAATTACAACAATTTTACATGTTTTTATAAAGCTGGAATTTTTATATAAAGGCTATAATTATGTTTCTTGAGGGGATTTTGATTACCCATTAATTAGGAATACAAGTAAGGGTTTTTAATTAATTTTCATCTTGTTTTAGAGGGTTTATGAGTTATTTAAAGAGTGTATATATTGCATGAAATTTATATTGAATAGGTATTAATGTCTCTTTGTAATTTTGGGTTGTAGGAGATTTCCAAGTTAGTGACTTTATTTAGTCGTGGCGATTGTGAGATCATATTCAAGGTACGTTCGCATACTTGGTAATTATTTCAGTGTATAGAAGCATGCTAGGGTTTGTCTAGTTAATTCCAAGGTAGTATCATGATAGGTATTGGTTGGAATTGTCGATTGGATTGATGTTGGTGATTGATTTGTGAAGTATGAATAATTTATGATGGATTAATGATTGGAATTAATTATATTGACATGTTCGAATATGAACTACACTTTTATAATTGGCATGATTGAGAGCACGTATAATTAAACTAAATGTTTAATTTGGATTGTACTTCATATAATTTTTATTGATGTTTTAAGCATGGGAATTGAGCTATTAAGTGTCTTAGTACACAGGGATAAATTGTATTGCGGTGCCTATGTGCACTTAAGGTGTTCTAAACATCGAGGGATAGGATTTGTGGTGCCTTATGCACTTAAGGTGTTATTTAAAACCGAGTAAGTTTAAAAATAGTTCAACATTAAATTATGTGGTCTCCAATTATTCAAGAATTAAATTGGTATGTTTGATTTCTTGAATAATTTATTATGATTGATTATGTTATGGTTTAAGAGTCGTCACCAAGTCTAAAAATATGTAAACAACGTAAAGTGAAAGAGATTACGCACCAAAACTCTTGGAACGTATATACCTTGAGTATGAACATATAGGGGGAGTTATGGGGTTTTATATTTAACCATGACTTTTATTGGGAGTATAGGACTCTGTATTTTCCTTTTTATTTATTTTATGCGCAGGACGTCCAGTCACTTCATGTGGCATTTTTTTTATTCGGTTAGCTCCCGGCGTAGTTTACCTCAATTTATTTAGGGCAGGGATTTTGGTGGGAAACCCGTTCGATGCGTAATCAAATTAAATAAGCAATTTAGTAGTCTATTTATTTGTTGGTTGTGTTGTATGCTTGAAAACAGGTGCAACAAGGTAAGTTGTGTGTTGATAGGATTAAAGCATGTTAGTGTGTACCGTTTACGCTTATGTACTAAGCATTGCTGATTATGTGTTGTATGTTTGTTTGACCTTGTCTTTATCTTGGCCCTACGACGACCTATTTCTAATGGAAAGTAGTGGGGACAAATCAAAGAGGAGCTTTTCAGGTGTGGAAGCATATTCATGATGGGCATGAGTGAAGAGCGAATCATGTTTAATTTTCATCGAATATGATGTGGTTTTGTTGCTTTAATTATTGTATATTTTGCTTGTGAGACTAATGCAAAGGTTTTTAAATGTTTTATCTCGGTTTTTATTAAGGTCCTACAATGGTTCCAAGTTGTAGGTTGACTTTGTTTGACTTTGGTTGACTTTACTTTCTTTCGGTTTGACTTTTTAAGATGATTTGTTTTGAATGGTTTTAAAGAGAGTCTTCTGCTGTGTGTCTTTGATAATTGTCTTAGCCGTTTTCACTGTGGCGATAATGTCTTAAAATTTCTTATTTCGTATATTAAAGGGAAGGAATTTCTAGGGTGTTACAAAGTGGTATCTGGGAGCTTAGGTTGAGATTTTTTTTACCACTAAAGCCAAAAATGTGTTCTAATGTATTTTGTTTTTTTTATACTTGGCCAAGTGTTTATTAAATCAAGTAATTTAAAAAGCGAGTTGTTTTATTTTATTCTTATTTTTAAGAGGAAATCCGAATTTTTTTTACTTTTTTGAAAAAAATCTGAATTTTTTTTTTATTTTTTTTTAATTTAAGGACATCCGAATTTTTTTAAATAATTAAATAGGGTGTCCGAATTTTTATATAGTGGTCGAATATTTTAACCTTTTTCGGAATTTTTATATAGGAGTCAAAAATATTTTTAGTTTGTTCATTTTGCAGGAATGCGAGGATTAAGGTAAGAATTATGTGTTAAAAGCTTTAAAAAGCATGCTGGTGAGCTTGTGTAAGAAAGAATTTGGGCATAGAAGTTAGAAATAATCATGTTCTTGTATGCATTAATATTTAGGTTGTGATGTTTGATCATGTGAATTTATTGATGGGAAGCATGTAATTATGTGATTAGAAATAAGTGAGATTGTTTGATTGAACATTGAACCTAATTCATGCAAGAACTGTATTGTTTTATTTTCTTTGGGAAGGGAATTCTTTTCTAAGTCTTTTCCTTTACAGGATGTCGATCTTTCCTAGCAAAAGCTCCCAGATTGATACTCTAATTAAGAAAGAATATGAACATCCTTTTGACTATGTCCTGAAAATTCGTTTCTATTGTTCCCATTTGAGCGATGTCCTTGGAGACAAGCATTATGACCTTCCTGATCGAGTTTCAGCTATGATTATTCACTGTCTTCCAGATGAACCCCCATATCTTGTTGTCAAAGCAAAGTTCTCTGATTTTTACTTACCTGGGGACATCCCAAACTACTCCAAATACAAATATTTCTATGGACAGTGGTACCCTGACTACAAATACTTGATTTCTTACCTCGTTAGAGTTTAGAAAGATCATTGCGAGCACTTACACATTCCATATCCCAATTACTACTATGATAACCCAGCAGGGAATAAATCTCCTTCCATTAGCAATCAATCAGGAAATTCTTCTCCACCACAGGGTAATCAAGCAGGAACTAATGGAGGGCAAGAGGAAGAAGAGTTAATGGATGAGAGTAACCATACTGTTGATAGTTCCATTATGGAAATTCCAAATCCAAATCCACCCCCAACTCCAATTTTAATTGATATTTCATCCGATGATGAGGAAGAAGAAGAGTTCATCCAAGTAGAACAAAATCAAGAGACACCTGAACCAATGGAGGAGGAAGATGACCCTGAATTCGATCTTGAAAGCTACAAACAACCGAAGGACAAGAAGGACAATGTTCGAAATGACTAGAATTTTGTAGTTTCATCTTTCTCTTAGGATTCTAAGTTTCATTTCCGCAGTTTTAAGTAATTCCTTTGTCAGTGTAGTAATAAGTGGCATGTCCACAAGAGTCAATAAACCTATTGAGCTGCGTAAGTTATTCGAACTCATTTCATTTCAGTTTTCCATTCATTTTCTTACTCAGCAATAAAATTCTATTTATTTTCTTGTCAAATAATCCATTATATTGCCAAATGATTCATTTCGTTCTCAAATCATTCATTTCGTATCACTACTCCAATAAGCCATTTCTTACTTAAAAATATTCCAATAATCCATTTCTAAACTCTAGGAATTCATGGGAATTATTTTTATTTATTATTGTGATGCTTTATTAAATGTATGGTTGGTTAGCAATCAATATTTGGTTGATCAAGCTGCAAATTTTGAGAATTGTAATTTTGCAATCTCAATTTATTAGTTTAAATTAAATGTGCAAGTATAGAGGGTATAAGTTGGTTAGATGGGTGTCTAACGTGAGAGTTAACCATGACCATAATTAATAAAGACCCCTTATTTTAATTCAGGCGAAGAAAGATGGCAATAGGAAGTGGTAACAACAATAATGGAGGAGAGCTGAGTGAGGTTGTGAAGCAACTGGTAGTGGTCGCCCAACAGTTAGCAAGGAACTCGACCAACAATGGAGATGCTCAGGGAAAGCTATTCAAGAAGGTGGCACAAAGCAAGCCACCAACCTATCAAGGAGAGCCTGATCCAATAGTGTTGAAAACTAGTTAAGGGAATTTGAGAAACTGTTTGGGGTAGTGGCTGCCCAGAGAATTCGAAAGTAGGTTGTGCTACCTATTACCTCAGGGGTGAAGCTGACATTTGGTGGCAACAAAATGAGGCTTCAATTAAGGCGCTACTTGGGTTTAACTGGACTATGTTTTAGGAGAAGGTTAGGGACAAGTTTTATCCTAGCTTCTTACAGAAACAAAAGACTGAGGAGTTTGCCAATTTAGCAATGGGAGAAATGTCAGTGACTGAGTACTACACCAAGTTTATTGAACTATCACGATTTGCCAAGGAGTCTGTTGCTACAGAAAAGTCAAAGGCTAGGAAGTTTGAGAGTGGATTGACTACTGATTTGCAACTAAAGTTGTGTGGACAAGTGTTTGACACCTTAGATGAAGTGTATGGGAGAGCTGCACACCTTTATGCGTTGGAGTTAAAGAAAAAGAAGGAGTTAGCTGAGATAGAAGGGAAGGAAAAGAGAAAGGAGGTGGGGCAAAACTCTAGAAACCCGCAGGGTAACCATAATAATTTTAAGAAGCTGAAGTACCAACATAACAACAACAACAACAACAACAACAACAACAACTTCCACAACAACAATTTCCAGGGTAACAATTGCCAAGGTGGGCGAAACTTTAATGGTGGATCTAGGAACTCTAACCAAGGAAATAATAAAGGACCAATGCATTTCTACTGCAAGAGGTGTAGGACGACCACCTTGGTAAGGATTGTGAGGGAAATTTGGTTACTTGTCGCGCATGCAACAAGTTGGGACACAGGGAGTATGAGTGCTTCTCTAAAGATCCTAACCGAAACAACTAGGGAAATAATCAAGGAGGGGCTCAAAGGAACTTTCAGGGAAACAACAACTATTTAGGGACTAAGGGGACACAACAGAATGGAGCGAAAAGCAACAACATTAGGAATAATCAGGTGAAGAGTGGAGCTCTAGGAAAACTCAACGTGATGAGTAGGCATGTGGCTGATTCCACGAAGGATGTTATCACTGGTACCTTTTCTATTAACTCTATTCCTGTTAAAGTTTTGTTTGGTTCTGGTGCAACTTTTTCTTTTATTTCAAAGGCCATTGTTTCAAAACTAGCACACTGTTTGAAACCGTAGGTGTTATAGATTTACCTATAGTTATTCCTACGGGAGGGGTAGTACAGTGTACCAAAACTTTTAAGGATGTACCATTAGAAATTGAGGGGAAAGGGTTTCTGTCTGACATCATCGAGTTTGGGTTAAGTGACTCCAATGTCATTTTGGGAATGGATTGGGTAGTAAGTACAGTGCAGACATTAGTTGTCGATCGCAGAAAGTAAAGATGAGTACAACTGAGAATGAATTGGTAACATAGTGAAACAAAGTGCCCAAGGATCATAACTGTGTTGAAGTTGGCAAAGTATATTAAGAAGGGGCATCCAATATATTTTTGTAGTGTGAGGAACTTAGAACATGAAGAGGTAACCAAGCCTAAGGACATAGAAGTGGTGAATGAGTGTCTGGATGTATTCCCATAAGAAATTCCAGGAATGCCATCCAAGAGGGCAATTGATTTCACAATAGAGTTGGTCCCAAGGACAACACCGATTCTCAAGACACCATATCAAATAGCACCCGCAGAGATGAGTGAATTTAAGGAGCAATCGCAGGATTTACTAGAAAAAGGGATACATTAGACCAAGTGCATCGCCTTGGGGAGCACCAGTGTTGTTTGTCAAGAAGAAAGATAGGAGTATGAGGTTATGTATTGACTATAGGGAGTTGAATAAGGTCAGCATAAAGAACAAGTACCCATTACCAAGAATTGACGACCTATTTGACCAATTGAGGGGCGCATCTGTGTTTTTTAAAATTGATTTAAGGTTTGGATACTATCAATTGAGGATCGCAGACGAAGATATTCCCAAAAATGCATTTAGAACAAGGTACGGGCATTATGAGTTCACAGTAATGCCATTTGGGTTGACAAATGCTCCAGCAATCTTCATGGACTTGATGAATAGGGTGTTCCATCCATTTATGGACAAGTTTGTTTTGGTATTCATAGTTGATATACTGGTGTATTCAAAGAATAAGGAGGAACATGTGGAACATTTGAGGGCAATTCTACAAACATTAAGGGAGAACAAACTTTATGAGAAGTTTTCCAAGTGTGAGTTTTGGTTGGATAAAGTAGAATTTCTAGGTCATTTTGTGTCCAAGGATGGGGTAGAAGTAGATCCATCAAAGATTGAGGCAGTGAAGGGATGGCCTACGCCAAAGACGGTGTCTGACGTTAGGAGTTTCTTAGGTTTAGCAGGGTATCATAGGTGTTTTGTGAAGGACTTTTCTAAAATTGCTAACCTTATGACCTCTCTAATGAAGAAGGACAAGAAATTTGGGTGGGATGAGGAGTGTGAATAAGCCTTTCAACTCTTGAAACAAAAGTTAATTACAGCACCAGTGCTTACACTGCCAGATGGTAGTGGGATTTATAATGTATATAGTGATGCATCTAAGAATAGTCTAGGATGTGATTGCATATGCATAAAGACAATTAAAAACTCATGAAGTAAACTACCCTACTCATGACTTAGAATTAGCTGCAATCATTTTTGCACTAAAGATTTGGAGGCACTACTTATATGGGGTAAAATGTAGGATTTACACAGACCATAAAAGTTTGAAGTACATTTTCATCTAAAGAGATCTAAACTCTAGCCAAAGGAGATGGTTAGAATTTACAACGGACAACGACTTGGACATACAATACCATGAAGGGAAAGCAAATGTAGTTGCTGACACTCTAAGTCGTAAACCAGTCATGGACTGAACACTTTAATAGTGGCTGATGAGTTGTGTAGGGAAATGAGGAAAATGAATTTAGAAGTGGTAGAATGGGGAGTACCAGCAAGTATACTTGTGAATCAGAGTATTCAACCAATAATATTTGATGAGATAAGGGTAAACCAAGTAGGAGATGTTAAGTTAGATAGGGTTCATGAGAAAATAAGGCAAGGGAAAGCTACAGATTTCAAAATTCATGAAGATGGAAGTTTAAGATACAAAGGTCGATGGTGTGTACCACAAAAGTGTGAAGAAGTAAAGAGAAAATTGATGGAAGAAGGTCACAATACGCCATACTCAGTACACCCCAGGAGGGGACAAGCTATACAAAGCCTTGAAAAAGATGTATTGGTGGCCTAGAATGAAGAATGAAGTTGCGGAATTTGTAGCAAAGTGTCTAACTTGCCAAAAAGTGAAAATAGAGCACAAGAGACCGCAAGGAACCGTGCAATCATTGGAAATTCCTGGATGGAAGTGGGATGGTATTTCAATGGACTTTGTGACTTGCCTCCCAAAGTCAAAGAATGGGAATCATACCATTTAGGTAGTGGTGGATAGACTGACTAAATCTGCGATGTTCATACCAATGAAGGAGACCTAGAAAATGGAACAACTTACAAAATCTTACATCAAAAATGTTGTGAGGTTACATGGAGTTCCAAAGGATATTGTGTCTGATAGAGATACTAGGTTTCTATCGAAGTTCTGGAAGAGTGTTCAAGAAAACTTTGGTACAACACTAAAGATGAGCACAACATTTCACCCTGCCACAGATGGAAAAACTGAGAGGACTATTCAAACCTTGGAAGATATGTTAAGAGTTTGTGTCATTGTCTTCCAAGGGGGATGGGAAGATAGCTTGGACTTCATTGAATTTTCTTATAACAATAGTTATCATGCAAGCATTGGCATGGCTCCATTTGAGGCATTATATAGAAGGAAGTGTCGCAGTCCTATGTGTTGGAATGACATAAGTGAAACAATAATCTTAGGGTCTCAAATGATTGATGATACAGTTGAGCAAGTAAAAGAGATTCAAGCTAAGATTCAAGCAGCGCAAGATCGCCAAAAGAGCTACGCAGATTTGAAGCGTAGAGAGGAAGAGTTTGAGGTTGGTGACAAAGTATTACTGAAGGTGTCACCAATGAAAGGTGTCATGAGATTTGGGAAGAAAGGAAAGTTTAGCCCAAAGTATATTGGTCCATATGAAGTATTACGGAGGATAGGCAAAGTAACTTATAGGTTGGCTTTACCTATGAAACTAAGTAAAGTGCATGATGTATTTCATGTATCTTAGTTAAGAAAGTATATACCTGACAAGTCACATGTGCTACAACCTAAAACAATTGAGTTAGATCAAAGCTTAACTTATGAAGAAAGACCTGTCAAGATCCTTGACAGTAAAGTGCGTAGTACATGCAACGAGGAAGTTAAGATTGTAAAGGTGCTATGGTCTAACCAAGAAATACCCTGAGTTGTTTAAGGTATGAGGAGTTACGGGGATGTAACTCATTTTCTTTAAGGGGGGTAAAATGCGGTAATTTCGCGCTTTTTCCCCATATATATTTAATTATTTTTGTGCTTTTTGCACATTTTTAATGGTTATTTCGAGCAATTTTTATTTCAAGGAGACATTAAAGGTAAAAGTATGTCAAAAGCTAAGAGTACAAAAATATTATACAAAGTGAGGAAATAGTTAGATTTTTGTTACTCAAGTTTCGGGACGAAACTTCTTTTAAGGGGGGTAGACTGTAATAACCCGTATTTTTATATGTATTTTAATTTATTTAAATAATTTAAAATGAATTATTTATGGTATTTTATTAATTTAAAAAGAATTATTTTAATTAAAGGTCCATTTTTATTTATTTTATTGTTTTGAAAATATTTTATTTTATTTTAGAAACTTTGGGGCATATTATTTTATAAAAGGAAATTTAATGTCAATGGTATTTAAGGAAAGTCGAAGGACTAGTTTGAATAGGAGAAGGGATCATTAAACTTAGGAAGGTTTTAGAGAGAGGGTATAAATACCCATCACATGGGCAAATTAGATCTTGCCCAAGGTGGAAAATACCCAAAGGTAAACTCTCTCTCTCTCTCCTCTTAGTTTTTCTCTCTCCCTTAATTTTCCCCCTCCCCTTTTAATTTTTTTTCACACACCACCACCACACACATCACGGTGGCCAGCTTCCACCCCCACCACAATCGGTCGCCGCCGCCAGCACAGGGTCGGCAGCAGCAATAGTCGTGGGAGGTGGCGCCAGCCACCTTACCATACCTTCTCCCCTTGTGTGCGTGTGTTTTGTTTTAAAAAAAAAATCTTCTTTTTTTTTTCTTAATTATTCTAGCTTTGATTCAATTATTATTTTTGGGTTGTGTGATGATTTTTATGATGTTAGAATATAATTATTATGTATATAATTTTTAGATTTGTTTTTTGCATTAAAAATCCCCAAATTGAAAACCCTGGGTTTCTAAATTAATGTATATTGATGAAAATTGATTATGGGTGATTGACACTAATAAATTAGATGTTTTTAAACATAATTACAACAATTTTACATGTTTTTATAAAGCTGGAATTTTTATATAAGGTTATAATTATGTTTCTTGAAAGGATATTTATTTACCCATTAATTGGGAATAAAAGTAAGGGTTTTAAATTAATTTTCAGCTTGTTTTAGTGGGTTTATGAGTGATTTAAAAAGTGTATATATTGCTGGAAATTTATATTGAATAGGTATTAATGTCTCTTTGTAATTTTGGGTTGTAGGAGATTTCCAAGTGAGTGACTTTATTTAGTCGTGGCGATTTTGAGATCATATTTAAGGTACGTTTGCGTACTTGGTAATTATGCTAGGCTTTGCTAGTTAATTCCAAGGTAGTATCATGATAGGTATTGGTTGGAATTGTTGATTGGATTGATGTTGGTGATTGATTTGTGAAGTATGAATTATTTATGATGGATTAATGATTGGAATTAATTATATTGGCGTGTTGAATGAACTACACTTTTATCATTGGCATGAATGAGAGCATGTTTAATTAGACTAAATATTTAATTTAGTTTCGAATATGAAAAGGGAATTTTATTGTAGTTCATATAATTTTTATTGATGCTTTATGCATGGGAATTGGGCTATTAAGTGCCTTAGTACATAGGGATAAATTATACTACGGTGCCTATGTGCACTTAAGGTGTTCTAAACACCGAGGGATAGGATTTGCGGTGCCTTATGCACTTAAGGTGTTATTTAAAACCGAGGTAGTTTAAAAAGAGTTCAACATTAAATTATGTGGTCACTAATTATTCAAGATTTAAATTGGTATGTTTGTTTGCTTGAATGATTTATTATAATTGATTATGTTATGGTTTAAGAGTCGTCACCAAGTCTAAAAATATGTAAACAACGTAAAGTGAAAGAGATTACGCACCAAAACTCTTGGAACGTATATACCTTGAGTATGAACATATGGGGGGAGTTATAGGGTTTTATATTTAACCATGAATTCTACTGGGAATATAGGACGCTGTATTTTTCTTTTTATTTATTTTATGCGCAGGACGTCCAGTCACTTCATGTGGCATTTGCCTACCCAGTTAGCTCCCGGCGTAGTTTACCTCAATTTATTTGGGGCAGGGATTTTGGTGGGAAACCTGTTCGATGCGTAATCAAATTAAATAAGCAATTTAGTGGTCTATTTATTTGTTGGTTGTGTTATATGCTTGAAAACAGGTGCAACAAGGTAAGTTGTGTGTTGATAGGATTAAAGCATGTTAGTGTGTACTGTTTACGCTTATGTACTCAACATTGCTGATTGTGTGTTGTATGTTTGTTTGGCCTTATTTTTATCTTGGCCCTACGACGACCCATTTCTAATGTCGAGTAGTGGGGACAAAGTAAAGAGAAGCTTTTCAGGTGTGGAAGCATATTCATGATGGGCATGAGTGAAGAACGAATCATGTTTAGTTTTCATTGAATATGATGTGGTTTTGTTGCTTATTACATATTTTTCTTGTGAGACTAATGCAAAGGTTTTCAAATGTTTATCTTGGTTTTTATTGAGGGCCTACAATGGTTCCAAGTTGTAGGTTAACTTTTGACTTTGGTTGACTTTACTTTCTTTCGGTTTGACTTTTTAAGTTGACTTGTTTTGAATGGTTTTAAAGAGAGTCTTCCGCTGTGTGTCTTTGATAATTGCCTTAGCCGTTTTCACGGTGGCGATAATGTCTAAGAATTTCCTATTTCGTATTTTAAAAGGGTAAAATAGGCATTTTAAAGGGAAGGAATTTCTAGGGTGTTAAATAATCGAACTAAACTGAACTCACCGAGTTTTAATCAACTTGACCCAAAGTCATTCGACTTTATATTAACTCAGTTAATTAAACCCGTTTTGAATTCAATATGAATTTATTCGAATTAAATATGAACTGATCAGAAGTTAACTCAACCCAAACCCAATAGATTTGACTAGCCCCAAACCAAGGCGAGTTAAAAGGTTAACTTTGACCCAAACATATCCGACTCGAATAGATCCAACTGATGAAGGAAATTTTAGGTTGTCGGGTTCTAAAACACCTTTAATCAAACAAAAATTTATAAAACCTAAACCTAACACTAAACTCGAGTCTAGTGGCAAGTCAAGGGTCGATCCACGGAGAACGGCTAATCACTACCAACATTACCAACACGAAACTAGGCCAAAAGGAGGTAAGAAATGACAACTAACACTACAAGGCTATACTAAACTAAGACAAAAGCTAAAACACTAAGGAGTTGGGTAGGTATGAGCTCCACTCAAGCATACATAGGAATAGAATTGGAATAATCACAGACTAAGTATATGCTGAATTAGGATCCTATCCTACCACCTATCGGGGTCAAAAGGTTTCTCCTAACATAGCCTCTATGCTATCACACTGGAACCATATACTAGAAGGTACAATCAAGCACAATCGACAACAATCAATCTAGCTAGGTCCGATATCGCATCATCAAGCATCAATTCACAAACAACGTGCACTTTGCAAGAAAATTGAAGAATATCAAATATACAAAAACTTTAATCATGATCAAACCAAATCCTATAACTAAAACATGCTCAAGCTTCAATTATACCATCCCCAAAAACTTAGCAAAAGAGATTAGTCCATAATCATGGCAATCAACAAGCTAATCAACAAATCAACAAATAAAAGCATGATTAACAAGCAATCAACAAAGCAAAATCAAAATAAAGCAATAAGAATAGAGAAAAGAAGGTAAGAATTTCTCATTGATTGATGTTTGAAGCTTTCAATACAATTGTCACTCTTGCATCTTCAATCTCTCATTGAATAATCCTCACTTTCTCTCTCTAAACTACTCTCATCCTAAGCTAAACCTAGAGAGAGATGCTCTCCTAAACACTAGAAAATAAAATCTGGAAAAAAGGTCTAAAAGATGTCCCGTACATCAAACAAGCCTCGAGTATGTATAAGCCGCAAAAAAATAGGCCAAACAAGGCTCGGGGAGTGCCCACGCACAGGGTTGCGCGCCCGCGTTTTTGTGGGTTTGCGCGGCTTTTGTGCTAGCTGTGCGCCCGTGCTGCCGGGTTGCGCACTAGCCCCTCCGCAAACATTCTGCCTCCGCTTCTGAAATTTACCTTCTGTATGCGCCCACGCACAGGGCTGCGCGCCTGCACACCTCGCTTTCTTCGAATCTTCTCTCGTGCTTCCTTGGATCCTGTTTTGCAACTCTTGACTTCAAAAACCTAAGCACAAACGCCAAGTAAAGCAGTAAGGTAGGGGCAACGGTATGAGCACGCAATAGAGGCAAGCATTCATGCACATACGCGATTTCATCCAAAATAAATTGAGACATGAATGCACGCATTATTTGAACAAAACAACTATAAAACAACCTAAGACAAGTTAAAACAAGGCATAAACACTTTACACTACCCTAAGAGTGACATTTTATGTCACTCATCACCAACTTCATTCGATTATCCTACTTGACACCCCTATTCGCCTATTCCTAAGAGTAAACACAATAAATAAAAAAAAAATCATGTCATAATTTTGAAACAGAAAAAGTGGTTACCTATCATAGCTGCTAAAAAAGGCCACATGGTAGTAGCATCCCCAAAGAAAACAACATGACATAAACAGTAACGCGGAATCAAGTACCCATCCGACTGCATTCAGTACAGCTCATGGAATTTAATCATCCCTCTGTCTCCAAAAAAACCTCGTCTCCTCTTCTCTTGCATTTATTTATTCACAAATCCAATGATATTACTCGCAATAAATGTACTTCACTACTACGTATTAATGAAATCTCTTCACCCAAAATCTACTATTACAAGCTACAATACCGACAACATATACAGTTATATTAGTCCACACACAATTTATAATAATAATCTTATTTACATGTATTTATTTATTTTTATTATTCCGAAGCCGCGCTTCTTTGCTTTATAAAAAGATATCCAAAATTCAAAAGAAAAAAAAAAAGTGATAAAAAAAAGCATAATTTCATTCCACCTTGCTTTATCCATGAATAAACTTGTACATTATATAATTAGATCTGTAACTTAACATACAAGTTCTCTTCTACCTACGTTCATCAATTATCAGACATCCTTTGCCATTTTTACTCACTGAGTCACTGAGAAATGAGTGATCTAAAGAAGAAGGGTGTGTTATTGTTATTTTTAGTGGTGTTATTGACAATTATTGGAAGCAGTTTAGCTGAGAGTCCTTACAGATTTTTTACATGGAATGTTACTTTTAGTGATATTTATCCTCTTGGTGTCAAACAACAGGTACGTCTTTGTTTGTTTGTTTGATGTTATTTAATGAGCTCGTGTTCATCACGGGGGTGTTTTTATTATCTTTGGACGTTTAATTGGGTGTTTTTTGTTATCTTTGGGACGTTTAATTGGGTGTTTTAGATAATCGTATTTCTGGGGTTATTGGAAAATTTCATCTAAGGAAAAATAAATGTAGAATCTTGAATTTTTACGGAGTTTCATTGTGTACACGAGTGCAACTAAGTATACTGAAACTCAATAGGTAGGAGATTAAGTTAGATTCTCTTATTTTATTTTAAAATGTCCGGGAAAAATTGTTACATAGTCGAATATAGTGGTAATAGTTTACAATCAAAATTTTCAATATGCTACATGTTGTTTGTGTAAATTAATGTCGTATCCTTAATTCCGAGGTATTTGAAAAAAAAAAAAAAAAAAAAGGGTGTAATCTAATGGTGCTTTTCTGTGGAGGATAATTTATGATTATTGTTGTTGGTTGTTGATAATATTTTAATGGGTTGGTTTAAATTTGATGAAACAGGGGATTTTAATTAATGGGCAATTTCCAGGACCACCAATTGAGGCAGTCACCAATGACAATTTGATTATTAGTGTATTTAATAGCTTGGATGAACCATTCCTTCTTTCCTGGTAAATTCTTGCTTTTTCATCTTTTAATTTGATCCTGTATTTTGTGATTTGAATTGGAGATCAAGAAATGCTTAACTAATTATTGTACTAATTTATTTTTCGAAATTGGGCATCAATGACTGTCTTAATATGCATAGAAACTCTATAATTGTTTGCGATATGTGGATGCCATCCAGCTTTATTGGTTAAATGACTAAAATCTTGATCGGATCGCGTTTTGAGTGACTGCCCATTGTTGGTCTTTAGAAGAATCAGTTGTTTATGTTAGCAATTGTAGTATCTTCTAGGGATGTTGCAGTATAATGTTGATACAAATCTAATATTGTATTAATTGGTAGATGATTGTGTCTCTTCCTTTTGGTTAAAACCTTTGCCAATTGCCAGTGTTAACCAATTTTATCAAACATTCTAAACATGTTTGGAAATAGTATGGAGTATCTTGCCTTTCACGCGCATATGTTATGTTCAGTCTCTCACAAATAATCGTTCACAATATACAAAAGCGTGTTTAATAAATCAGTATTTAAGAACATGACAAACAGTAAACTAACATCGTGAATTTCTACCCTTACATAGCTCCATCAGATGGTTATCTTTTGTTACGAAGGAATGAACATGCTATTTGCATATGACATCAACTACGATTACGTAGTCTTGATCTGCAAGAACTGATTAAATAATTAGGAAGCTAATACAGATTTTAAGTACAGACAGTTAAAATATATCAATGAGATTAAGGGGGTTTTTCCCCCTAATATCTTCATTTAACTTACCAACACCAATAAGTTTGCTTGTTTTCTGATATAATGTATATTGAATTAATCTCTGATGATTCGGAAAATAGTTCATCTGCTTAGGTTGACTGCTTCACTTTCAATTTAGAGATTAATGATCAAATCCTTTCAACTCTTTCATTATCTTTGTTTAACTATGCAAAACATAAGTATGTCTGTGCTCACCTAGCTCCTGATCACCAAAATGGCCAGACCTGATAATTGTGTGACAAAGCCTACATTTAGACATTGCCACTTTGATTGGGTGGGCGACAGTGACCAACGGAAAACATAATAGAGATGACAGCTTTTTATGGTTGTAGCTTGTAGGTTTGCTGTAATTTAGAAGATGTGAATTGGAATCTGAGATTTTTGAGCTTTCTTTTGAATGTGTAGGAATGGCATACAACAGAGAAGAAACTCGTGGCAGGATGGTGTATATGGAACGAATTGTCCTATTCCTCCTGGGCAAAATTTTACATATGTCCTCCAAGTTAAAGATCAAATCGGTAGTTACTACTACTTCCCGTCCCTTGCTTTCCACAAAGCTGCTGGAGGTTATGGTGGCATCAGAATTGATAGCCGACCCTTGATCCCTGTCCCCTTCCCTCCCCCTGCCGGAGACTTCACTGTTCTTGCTGGGGACTGGTATAAAATGAATCACACAGTAAGTGGATACTTTGAGATGAAGATATGAATTTTACTTGTCAGACTAAATATTTATGTATTGAATCCTTCTCCCACTTTCCTAATATGCAGGATTTAAAAGCGATATTAGATGGTGGACATGATTTGCCTTTCCCTGATGGACTTGTCATAAATGGCCATGGATCAAATGGAAATACTTTTACAGTTGATCAAGGTACTTGATTAGGAGACAAATCAAAAGTTTTAAATTTTATTGCAGGGAAAAGGCTTATAATAAATGGTGGGTGATTGTTTTGGTAACAGGCAAAACATACAGATTCAGGATATCTAATGTTGGGATAGCAACATCGATCAATTTTAGAATCCAAGGACACAAATTGATACTAGTAGAGACAGAGGGAGACCATACTCTTCAGAATACCTATTCGTCCCTTGATGTTCATTTGGGGCAATCATACTCAGTACTCGTTACAATGGATCAACCTCCACAGGATTACTACATTGTTGTCTCAACCCGTTTTACCTCTCAAGTACTTACCACCACCTCCACTCTCCATTATAGTAACTCGGCAGCTGGTGTTACAGGCCCTCCTCCTGGTGGGCCCACCACTGAGATTGATTGGTCTCTTAACCAGGCCAGATCCCTCAGGTAATTAAGTCTGATTCAGTTTCTTTTATTCAAAATATTTTCTTGAATCTTGCCAGAGTTTGTGTTTGGTTTTTATTTATGAATATTATGGTATAATGTTTGATGTAGCGCTTAGCTATTTACACTCATATTTTGTTTTACTTTTCTCTTAAAATGAAATCAGGCAAAATTTGACAGCAAGTGGACCAAGGCCTAATCCTCAAGGTTCTTATCATTATGGGATGATCAATACTACACGTACAATCAGGCTAGCAAATTCAGCTCCAGTGATTGATGGAAAGCAGAGATACGCCGTGAATGGTGTGTCTTTTATCCCAGCAGATACACCGCTTAAACTTGCCGACTTCTTCAAGATTTCAGGTGTTTTTAGCCTTGGAAGCATCTCTGACAGTCCTAGTTCTAATGGCGCCAGTCAGCAGACGTCTGTCATGGCTGCTGACTACCGAGCATTTGTTGAAGTTGTCTTTGAGAACTCTGAAGACACTGTCCAGTCTTGGCATATTGATGGCCACGTTTTCTTCATTGTTGGGTACTAAATTTTATACTACTCCGTAGTTTGTTTTCATTAGCTATATATACGGAAACTCAGTATATGTCAGAGTCTGATTTTATTTGTATGTGAATTTGACCAGAATGGAAGGAGGACAATGGTCGACTGATAGCAGATCGAGTTACAATCTAAGAGATGGTATTTCGAGATGCAGTGTGCAGGTAAGTTTTACCCAAGAGACAATTTATGAACAACTATTTCTAGGCATCTTAAACAATAAATGTATACACCTAAACTAATTTGCTATCTTGTGTATGATAACAGGTATACCCAAATTCATGGACTGCAGTTTATATGCCACTGGACAACGTCGGAATGTGGAATATTAGATCTGAAAATTGGGCACGCCAGTATTTGGGACAGCAGTTCTATCTTCGGGTGTATTCACCTGCTAATTCTTGGAGAGATGAATATCCGATTCCAAGCAATGCACTTCTCTGTGGCCAAGCTGTAGGACACAAAAAACCTTGATTCCCAAATGCTGCCATAATATCTTCCACGTCACATCGAATTGCTTATGGACATGAAATCAAAGCTAGAAGAAATATATTCAAAACACCAGGCTGACTTGCTTATATCAGAGGCTTTGGCAGTTTAAATTAGCATTGTATTACAGTCTATTGAATTTTACAACCTTTGTCCGTATTTAGTTGTCACATTATAAATTTTTATTACACAGTGACAATTATTTTTGAACAAAGGGAGTAAGTAAATCAGCTGGAGTGACTATCACTATTTTGATTACATTTTTCTTATTATTTTATTTTTATTTTTATTATTGCTGTGTAATGAATTATGTAGAAAGACTGAAAGACTCAGTATAGTGATTGCAAAACTTAACAGACATGCTAAGTTGAATTATCAATTACGAAACTTCCAATCTTCAGAGAATTATTAAATATCAAACTCAAGAATATTGTGAACAGTAAAACAAGTAAATTTATTGTGAACACTAAAACAAGTAAATTTGGTGTTGTACTTATAACCCATTAGATTAGGTTCCGTGCCATGCACGGTAATTTTCACTAATTTATGAAGTATTAGTTTAACTCTATAATTAATTTTAATAATTATCAAATTACTCCGTACAAGATATGATAAATAAAAAAATTCGTAAAGTACAAAATAAAAATAAAATTATATCATTCTAAAGAAAATAGAAGGAGTATTACATGGCGACTAATAAAATAATCATGGATTATGTCACAAAATTACATAAAGGAACAAAAATATTATTGCATAGTATTTAATAAACGAATAATATTTTGTTGAATGTGTATGAATAGAATATATTTACCAATTAGTTGGGAAATATTACCAATTAGGACTGCATATAAGCATTTAATATGCTTCCGTTTTTAGTATTAAGTTGGAAATTTATCGACAGTTCACAAGTAAATCGGTGTAATAAATGTTGACTTAATGTCTATTCTTTCCACTTTTAGCTTCTTATATGCAATCCTAATGACATCATATAGCTTTTTCCTAGTATTAAATATACTCTAAGAAGCTTTGGCAAAAAAAAAAAAAAAAAAAATTGGCGCGAATTTTTTTTAAGAAGGAGATGACATATGTCATTTTTGGTTTCACCTTTATTATAATATATAATAATATATAGTTATAGTTATAGATTTATGTGTTAAAGTCAATTTGATGCAATATAACGTAAATATTTTTTTTATTTCCTACTATAAATTAAATCCATGTGATTGTAATATATCAGAAAAATTGCAAATAATATTAATATTAGTAATAAGAATCTTGAATTTCTATTACTCTGTATAATATATAAACTAAATATATGAGTATAATTTTATTGTCTAAAATAAGTTGTCAATCAAAAAGATATAAAATCGAAAAATAAAGTTAGCATTTTTTATTTTTATTTTTTTGGAAAATTTTTTTGGAGGGAAAAAACCACACCAGGAAGTGACATGTGTCATTCCTGGTGTCTATTTTAGTATTAAGGGCGAATTAGGAAGTTTAATGAATAATGTTAAAAAAATGAGGGCATAATGGTATTTACATACTATCCAAAAATAGAAACAGGAATAACATTTTAGATCTCCAAAATAGGAAAACAGGAACTGTAATATGGGATAGAGGGAGTAAAAGATATGATAAAAAAAATTCGTAAATTACAAAATAAAAATAAAATTATATCATTATAAGGAAAATAGTGGGAGTATTACATGCACGACTAATAAAATAATCATGGAGTACGTCACAAAATTACATGAAGGAACAAAAATATTATTGCATAGTATTTAATAGGAAAAATTGTCAAAAATAATCCCAACATTACCGTATTCGCTTTAAATAAGCCCAACTATTGATTATTTCAAAATAATCCGAACTTTGCTATGTCTTCGCTTTAAACTGGCCCATATAACTGGTAACCGGCTAAAATTGTCAACTTAATCATTTGTTGACTTTGTTGACTTATGAAAGGAAGTTTCCTCCCAAAAAAATGAATTGCTTCATTAATCACCCCAACCACTTCTGTCAACATCATCTCCTACCCCTTCTCTGTCTTTCTCTCCAACCATTACTCTTCTTTACTCTCTTTAGGCGGTGTAGGTAGAGTGACGCCATTAATCCTTCTCTTTCTCTAACGTCAACACACAATTTCTTTTCCAAATTGGAAAAAAATGAGGCTTTAACTTGACAAATTTGGAGCTTGTACGGGAATGGCGAGAAGGAAGAAAAGCGGCACAAGTAACCCTAATTTCCCTTTAATTCGTTTGTTTAAGTGTGAAATGTACAGCTTAATTGGATTGTGATTTGGTTTACACTATATACAAGTATAAAATTTGCAATTTTGAATCATATTTGTACTGTTGTTGTATGTTGTTGCGAGTGTGTGTTGTTGATTAATGTGGGTAAAGCTTTTTGATGTTGAATTAGATTCGATTTACACTATATACAAGTATAAAATTTGCAATTTTGAATCATATTTGTACTGTTGTTGTATGTTGTTGTGAGTGTGTGTTGTTGATTAATGTGGGTAAAGCTTTTGATGTTGAATTAGGGTAATTGTGTTGTTTGATTGTGTTGCTGTTGTGTTTGTTGGGTGTTGTTTGAATTTATGTTTGATTTGTTGTTTAAGGTGTAATGAGAAAGGCTTTTGGCATCGTTACCCTGAAGTTTTGGCATGGGGGTGTTTTTAAGTTTGTTGGTAATGGTGAGATGGTTTACCAGGGTGGTAAAGGTGCGACTAAACAAGTAGATCCTGATCTCCTTTGTTACTTTGATTTACTAGAAATGGGGAAGGAATGTGGGGAGGTTAAAGTAGTTGAAGGTTTGTATTACTTGATTCCAGGACTGAGTTTGTCAAATGGACTAAGGAGGATAGTTAATGATAGTGATGTTGTGGAGTTAGGTGGGTATGCAGATAAATTTAGGACGGTGGAGGTGTATGTTTTTCATGGGGTAGAGTCACTTGAACTTGAGCCCACTGAACTTCCTGAATAACCAACCCACATTTTCAACCTTTAGAAAAGGACTTAAATCCAAAATCTCAAACTTTAATACCATAGAAGCTAGTTCCAAAAAGGGCCCCACCAAAGCTTTTGTTGACCCCAGTTAGGAGTAGTCCTAGAAAACACACTCTAGCAAAAAAAAAAAAAAGGATTCTTCTTGTCACCTACCATTATCTGAGAATGCATTTGACACATCACATGCAAAGTAAACAAAAACAAAAATCCTCCACCTCAGCTCAAGTCATTATAACTCCAAGCTCATTGACTAAGCCACATCCACTCATACAAACCACCAACATTAATTATATAGTTGATAACCCTAAATCTGTTGCTACTTTTTCAAAGGCAGCCACACAAGAAAACCCAATTCCCTCTATTTTTGAAAACATTGTTGATCTTGTGGATACATTTGAGTGGTATGATAATAGGCCTGACTCTCCTGTCCCTTTGAATGATCTGTTAGAGGGGTATAGTGATGACAGTGATGAGTCAGACCCAACTTATACCCAGAAACTGATAAGTGTAAAGGAGTAGTAGTGCTGGGTCAGGTCTTTGGAGAAGTGTATACTGATGTGGAATCAGATGAAGATGAGATCTATGGGAAGGAGCATTGTGATGTTGGTGTAGGTGGTGAAGATCTAGACTTGGAGCTGCTAGATATTCAGTTGGAGGAACAAGAGCATGAGGCCATATTTAATGAGGAATTACAGTTTGAATCTGAGACAAGTGATGATGAGTGTGTTACAACTAGGGAAAGAGTGAAGGTTTGTAACAAAAAATTGATCCATTTAGCCTAACAATTACAAAGGGAGGAATTTGAGGGGAAACTTCAGTCTTAGGAGAAACAAGGTTCAACTGCTCAGACAGCTCAGACAGAGGGAGCAGCTGGTGGTGTGATTGAGCAAGAGAGTGAGTATGAAAATAGTGAGGAGGATATACACACCCCACCAGAAAGTGGTGATGAGGATGAAAATGGGGGAAGAAAGAGGAGAACTAGGGTGCTTATAAGTCCAGACAGTGACTTCTCTCAGTTCAATTGGGAAGTGGGTTTGAGATTTTCCAACAGGGAGAACTTTAAGGAAGTAGTGACCAAATACGTTGTGTTTCAAGGTAGGAACCTAACATTTAGGGATATCGACAAAAGCAGACAATAAAGGTTAGGGGTCAAGTGTGTTGATGGCTGTCCTTTTTATGTGTATGCATCCTGACAATCTAGGAAAGCTACATTTCTTGTGAAAAAGAGTTTGCAATCAACATACATGTCACAGAAATATGAAGAAAAATAGATAATTGAAGTCTACATGGGTAGCCAAGCAGTTCTTGGATGTGTTTAAATCAAGACCACACTGGCCTGCAAAAGAAATCATTGAGTGTATTAGGAGAGCTTACAAGGTGTTGGTGAAGAAGGACTTTGCATACAAAGTTAAGTATGCTACACATAAGCAATTGCATGGGTCTATGTCAGATCATTACATAAAAGTTGGTGCCTACATGGAAGCTTTAAAAGGATGTAGTCCTAGAAGTCATTTGGTGTTGGTGACTGACACATCCAAACCTGACTTACCAGCAGTGTTTAAAAGGCTTTTTATATGTTTTGAGGGTTTGAAGAAGGGCTGGGTTGAAGGATGCAAAAAAGTCTTGTGTGTGGATGCTTGTTTTTTGAAGATCTTCTTGGGTGGTCAACTCTTATGTGCTCTTGGAAGAGATTCAAATGATCAAATGTACCCAGTAGCCTGGGCTATAGCAAAAGGAGAGAACAATGACTCTTGGCAGTGGTTTTTTGAACAGTTGCAGCTCTGCCATGGTTTAGGTGATGGAGATGGTTGTGCCATAATATTTGATGAGCACCAGGTTACTTCTAACTCTCTTTCTCTATTTTTATGTTATTAGGATGTGTTACTTTGACCTCAATTTGATATATGCTTTGTACATGTGTAGGCTATTTTGTATGTTGTTTCTACTATGTTGCCTAATGCAGAGCATAGGAATTGTGCTCGTCATATCTTTGCAAATTGGCACAAGGCCTTTGGGGGTGATGAAATGAAGTTGCAATTTTGGTAAATTGCAAAATCTTACAATGTGGCAGACTACAATGATGCATTGGCAAAGCTTGCTAAAATCAATCCAGATGATGTAGAGTCTTTCAAAGCTTATAATCCAAATTGCTTTTGTAGGGCATTCTTGCATTCTAAGTTTAAAACAGATGCAATCACTTCAAACATGGCAGAAACCTTCAACGGTTATATCATCTCTGCTAGGACCAAACATTTGTTGTATATGCTTGAAGAAATTAGGACTAATCTGATGCAAAGGTTGGTGAAAAAGAGACAGGAAATGGAGAAGGAAACCTCAGCCCTAGGATTCAAGCCAAACTTGAGAAAGAAAA